AAAAAAAAAAAAAAAAAAAAAAAAACAACTGCAAAGTATTTTAAAAACCACCACAAAAGGGCAGGGGTTGGGGGTAGGCAATGAGATCAAATGGTTTCAGGTTTTAAGGAACAGCTAATTCCAATGTTATTAAACTATTACTGATCTTAGAAAACTCTGAAAATCTTCAAATTCATATTATGAAGCCACTGTACTGACATATAACCTGAATACTCAAACTTGATTTTAAAAATAGTTAAAAAAATGAAAACTGCAATAATTTATGAATATATATGCAAAACTTGAAATATAATATTAAGTAAAACCTAGCAGTGAATCAAAAATATTGCAGTAAGGGGCTTCTCTGGTGGCTCAGTGGTTGAGAGTCCGCCTGCCGATGCAGGGGACATGGGTTCGTGCCCTGTTCCGGGAGGATCCTGCGTGCCGCGGAGCGGCTGGGCCCGTAAGCCACAGCCGCTGGGCCAGCGCGTCCTGAGCCTGTGCTCCGCATCGGGAGAGGCCGTAGCAGTGAGAGGCCCGCATACCACAAAAAAAATAAAAATAAAAAGTTGCAGTAAGATTAAGTAAGTTTTATTCTAGGTATGAATGGAAGAACTAATATATATAAGAATATCTATTACATAATTAATATTTCAGTATATTGAAGGAGAAAATAAAAACCTATGTCAATAGATACTGAAAACTATTTTTGAAAAGAGAATGTAATTCCAACAGGATGCAAAATATTAGTTTCACATGTGGGGGTGAGAGGAGTGCCAGGGAAGAGAGGAGAAGCAAAAAAGAAAGGTGTCCATGATTTAAAAAAAAAAAGAGTATGCATGATATAATCCATTTGTGTGTGTGTGTGTGTGTGTGTGTGTGTATCTCCTATCCATACCATCAAAAATTTTTTAAGTTTGATCATTAATGTTAGTGGAGATATAAGTTTTTTATATTACTTGAAATTTATCTACATTGCTTAAACTTTTTGCTATAAAAATGTGTTACTTAAATAACCAGGAAAAAAGCAGTGGGGGAAGAAAAGTCGAATCTGGAATTTTGGACAAGAATCTAGTATCTAAAATAGTTTATTCTATTTGGAGAGATTTTCAAGATACATTTCCCCATTTTGATGGTATATATACACACACACAAATGTGCCCCAATTTTTTAAATTAAAAAATAACTTTAGGGGCCTCCCTGGTGGCGCAGTGGTTGAGAGTCCGCCTGCCGATGCAGGGGATACGGGTTC